TAGGGATGGTGATTTTCAGATGGAGCATTAGTGGTATTTGAATACAACGGAAATCTCGTGATCCTATACTATCATCATGAACGTTCTGCAAAGGTTCATATCTATTGTAGGTAGGTGGAACATAATTTTGATACTCATGATCTCTCATAATTGGCCTGCTTTGATTTTTATTTGGTCCCATCATAGGAGGTATGTGGTTAGGGACTGGTTGGTTAACAGGGTCTAATTGTTTCTGCCAATCAAAAACCATTTTGTCAGAATAATCTTTATAGTCTCTATTATATTTTTTCCTCTTTTTAATTTTCTGTTCTTTTTCCACCCCTTCCATATGAACCTTTAATTTGTCGGATTCAAATTTATATTTCTCATTATCTTTAAAGGGGTTAATTTTCTCTCGCACTAAATTTATTTCTTTATCCAAATATGCTAACTTTTTCTTTTTGCGTATAATGAGAAACTTTAGAAGGTCAATGCCAGTGTTATTAAAAAAAATTGGTACCACTCAAAATGGCTACTGGGATCCTCCGAATCTGGGCGTATACGTCCCACCGGAGTGATCTGGGAACCATCTGTTCTTTAATATACTTTTCCAAGAAAGATACATCCATAAGGTTTTAATTTCGGCAGTAGTTAGATTTTTTAGATGTACAAAGAGTCCCTTTAAGTCATCACTGTCATCATTATCTAATGTATAGAAATCCTCAGGGATTGCGCAGGATTTTTATTTTAGCCAACAATATATGGTGTTCTGTCTTACTTAGTCATTTTGTGCGAACATGTTCACATAACCTTTTTTTTTTTCTGTCTCTTGGTATGTCTAAAGGCTTCAATACCCTTTCTTGGACCTACCTGCATATGGCCTTAAGTCATTGGGGTTTAGGAGAGAACTTCCTGCAATGGATCCACAAACTTTACAGTGTTCCCTCGGCCAAAGTCCGATATCATGGGGTTAAGTCCTCCCAATTTCAGATACGAGGGTGTACACGCCATGGCTGTCCTCTCTCCTCTTCGTTATGGCCCTGGAGCCCCTTGCCGTTTATATACGGCTTCACCCAGACATTAAGGGCCTTGAGTTGGCAGGACTGCATCATAAAGCTGCACTTTTGGCAGACAACATTCTATTATATCTCTCTTCCCCATATGTTTCTCTCCTCAAACTCATGGCGCTTCTCACCCGTTTTCAGCATCTTTCAGGTCTACATGTTAACCCAATAAAATCGGTGGCTATGAATATATCTCTCCCTCTGTTGATCTAAACGCACCTTCAGTCGCAATTCCCATTCCAATGAACTTCTACACTTTCCTATCTGGGCATAATACTCGCACCCTCTTATGATTTGTTATACCAAGCAAACATTCCTCCCTTACTTTGCCAAGATAAGATTAATTTGTTAAGATGGCGAACTATGACCTTGTCTTGGTTTGGTCAAGCCCACGTAATCAAAATGACATATCTTCCTAAAATGCTTTACCCTTTTAGAGTACTTCCTATCCGCGTTCCATCCCATATACTGCGTATTCTGCAACATCAAGTTCTGCCGTTTGTCTGGGCTTCAAGATGTCCCCGATTGTCCAGACACCTGCTCTATCACCCGTGAATTCGAGGCAGTCTTGGACTCCCTAACGTTCACTATTATACTGCAGCCCAGATCACTCCCCTTACCCAACTCTTTTCTGGAAAATATCTGCCCTTGCGGGCATTGATAGATATTTTGGATACACAGCCTATCTTGCCCTCCTCTTTGCTTTTGGCTTCCCCCATCTTCCAGACCTAAACCATTGAATCCAATCCTGGCCCACACCTTATGAATTTGGGATTCGTGTAAGTATTTTGCATGCTTATTGTCTCCTCATCTACCTCTTCTTCAAATATTTGATTGCCCTGTTATTTCCCCCAGGCGAATTAGAAAAGGGGGCCTTCCATTGGTGGATAACTCATGGTTTCACAACAATCTACTCACTAACGGTCCGAGGATTGCATACATTTGCCCAACTCCGTGAAAGTCATGATATCCCACCTTCGGAGGTTTTTAGATACTTTCAGATACGTCACTTTATTGAACCTCTTGTCCGCAAACAGGATTCCCCCAGAACATTAACAAGTTTCGAATCCACTAAGGGCATCTCTTTGAGCATCTATTTATCAATTCGAGATCATATAGCAGAACCTCTACCTACTTACTGTATTCAATGGGGCAAAGAGCTCCAGGCATAGTTTACTACTGAAGACTGGATACCTATATGGCATGCGGTTTCTCGGTGCTCCCACAACATACGTATGTATCGGGATATGACCCACGTTGTTTTCGCGGTTGTGATATGATGGCTCGATGCTCCACATATGGTGGTCCTGTCCGATAGCTCATCGTCTATGGACCAGAGTCTATAACCTTATTTATTCCGTCACACATATCAATCATAGGAAAGACCCTACTGAAGCATTGCTTTTTAAGCCCCTCCGTGACGTACCTTGTAAAATTTGTGCACGGATTAGTTTTTTTTTTTCATGGCTACTAAACAAACCATTGCACATTCCTGGAAATCCCCTACTCTTCAATTTGCGGAAGTCAAGTCTAGAATCCAGGGCTTCTTTGTCAAAGAAAAACTAACGGCAGTGTTGGAGGATAACCATGATACGTTTCTTTCTGTCTGGCAGTCCTGGGTGGACTATCATCTGGTGTCTCGCTTCATCAGTAGATTGACCAATTTCTAACATTTAGAAATTCTCCCCTGGCTTCCCTTTGTTGGGACTATGTACTCCTGCACTCCTCATTGGTGAACTCTTTTTTTCTTTTTCTAAACTGTATTCTTCTTCTCTTTTCCCCACTTCTCCATTTATTTTTTTATGTTTCATTCTGAGCTGGTGGGATCTCTGTTTTTCCATTTCCCTCTGCTTTTTGCTCGCTTTTCCTCACTCACTTCTACTCTCTTTTTTTGACTGGTTTAAATACTGAGGCCCTTGAGGCCTTTGCTTGATGTCGTTGCTCGTCGCAATTCCCCATCCCTCTCAAATCTGTTTTTTATAAGGCTTACAAAATTGATCCTCACCCCCCCCACTCTCTCTTTTTTTTCTATTCCCCCCCCCCCCTTCTTTTTTTTTTTTTTTTCTTTTCTACTTCCCGTAGGGTGAGTCATTGATGAGATATTGATGGGAGACATCTCGACACTCAAGTTCTATGACTATGTAGTGATTATTTATTGTGGACTATCAGGTTTTGCCATACTTCTGGCTATGTGCTGGATGTATCTCCAAGTTGCCTTTACTCTAGATTATCACACATCATGCTTTTTCTGCTGCTTGGACCCCTGCGCGGATCATATTTGTTCTTATGTAATTGCATAGTTTTCTTTTTGAACGACTGCTCTATTATGTATCACTTATGTTTCTATAACCTGTATAATCTGTTGATTTATTCAATACAATTTCTTTGCTACCAGTAATTAGGACATATAGAGACTTTTAGGAAATTTATTAAATCCCAAACACTTTTCTGGTGCTATGGCCCTTTAAAATAGCCTGCCAGTTTAAAAAATCTCTGCCACCCATTTCCATAGTTTTACCGTCACACCCAGCAGATTCAGATAGTTCTTAACAGTGCCACTTTTACAAAGTAGTGCTATTAATGCACCAAATTAAAAAAAAATAATTACAGTTCGTAGAATATGAAACTGGGGGCAATTAATACCGACTATGAGTTGGCGTATTTGCCGCTGCTACCCCTACCCCTCCTGTCACTGGTTGTTATGGAGGCTGTCTGCCTCAGTGACAGCGGCAGCTTTGGCCTCGGTGGGCCTCCACACTCGGTGCGTGCCACAAACATGTTTATAACAGGTACATAAATCTGTCAACCACTCTGACAATTGTTGCGTGGAGGCATGTTGGAATTCTAAAGTACATCTTAGACACTCTTTATGATTTCCCCTTTTTGTGTATTATAGAGGAGGTATGGTGTCTTTGTCAGTCATTTTGTCTGAAACCAATATGGCAACTGGAGAGTAAAGCAAACCATTAAATAAACTGTTGAAAAACACATATGTGAAGTGCCTTACGAATTTGTAATACTGTCCAGTCACTTTAGTGACTGGACATCTCAGCTAGACAATACAACCTGTAGCATGACACCACTTTCTCTGTCAGAGTCAAGCAATCTTGTGGTGTCACCTCTCCACCTGAATCCTGCTAATTGGAGCTGCAGCACATTGATAACTCTGCTTAAGATGGCCATACATGGATTGAAATGTGGCCAGTGCAGCAGGAACTGAGTAATGTATGATTTTACAGCTGGCTGAACTTTAAAGTGACCCTGCCACGTCTAAAAAAAAAAAAAAAAAAAAATAAACTGCAAACAGCTGCTCTTTGCAATTTTAGAAGGTAATACTTGCCTTTATGGTGGGTAGTGAGTGAAATCTTTGCTGTCTTCATTAGCTCTGGGTACTCGTGTTTTTTTTGTTTTTTTATATGCAGAAAAGACCTGTTCTGTCTCTTCTGCATTAAAGTTACCTGTCTGTTTGCCTCTGTGCAGTGAGCTGTGCATGCGCAGCTCATTGTACTAATTCGGCAATGCCGAAGCTGACTGAACTCCTGCGCATGCAGGTGGGTGACGTCATCTCGACCCAGCAATTGAAAGCAGCCAGTGATCGAGATCTGGAACCAGCCACCTGAAGTTGTCAGCGGCTGGCAGGTAGCTCTGAGACAGCACATTGTTGGACTGAAGGTTAGTATAGTTCCGTTTTTAACATTAAAAACAAGCTGCATACAGTATATATCCTACATGAAGACAAAGAATCTATTTTTATTTTTTGTATATTTTTCAGTCATCATTTTTGTCTTTGGAATATGTACTCATTTTTGCCTTTGGAATATGTGTATGACATTTTTTTAAATCTTTTTGAGATTGGAAATCAAAATTTGTGCTTTTTGAATTAGATCATCTTCTAATCTCTAAACATAGGTGTGTTTTTATTCATTGGCATGTGATGATTGTTTCCTTCTTTGACAGGTTTCTCATTTTTCACTTTTGAGACCTTAAAGACTGCTGGACTGAAACATGCCCCAGAACTAATGGGGAAACCATCCTTGGACAATCCAGATGTCATGGTGCTAAAGACACCTGTCAGCTTATGCTGTGGTGGGATTGCTGGAGCCATTTCACAGACTATCTCGTATGTAGGCTCATGCACAATATGCGTATAAATCTGTAAATATAACTGATTCATAAATTAATATAAATTCATCAAAATTCATACAATGGAAAGCAGGGAAGGCATGAGGATATAACTGTGGATAAAGGTGTGCTGCTGGAAGGGTGATATGCATGAAATATGTGCTATATCAGTTTTTAATAAAACTGGATGAGATCAGGTGTAATTAGAGTGCAGCTCACTGCTTCTTTATTGACTCCAGAGAGCATGGTTTGGGCTTCTAATTGGCTAGCACACTGAGTTCCAGAAGTGGGGAATTTGATGTTGGCTTGGAAAGGTGACATATTTTTCTCTTGCTGTCCTATGTCACAGTGAGGGACTGCACCTTGCCATTTACAAAAAAAAAAAGTAACAATCCATTCCATGTTATTGTGCCTACTGTGTCCATTGGCTGTAACAGTGCTTGAAAATGCATACACAGAACATGTCTGTATCGATTCCCCTTCTCTTCTGCAAATCTCTGCAGGTAGCCCAGTGTTGTTCAAAAATGGATGAAACCTGGTATGTCTTTGCTCCATGATTCCTCATTTCAGCCACTAGATGGTGTTGTGCATATATCATATATATATATATATATATAGTCTGCAGCACAACCTTGAAAAAGTACACTATATGGCCAAGACTTTGTGGACACTTGACCATTGCACTTACCTATATGACCAATACTATGTGAATACCTCTTTAAATGATTGAGTTTAAGTATTTTCCATTGAAGCGTGCTGTTAGTACAGCACATGAAGGCATTTTAGACTATTGTGCACTTTTATCCATGCGGCAACAATTTTAGGGAAAGCCCTTCTTTTCCAGCAATACTGTGCCCTGTGCAGAAAACCAGGTGTATAATGACATGATTTGATGAGTTTGGTTTAGAAGAACTCTGCTGGATGAGAAGACTCAACTATAATGGGCAGCACAGTGGCTAAATGGTTAGCACTTCCGCCTGGCAGTACTAGGGTCGTCGGTTCGAATCCCAACCACAGCACCACCTGCCTGGAGTTTGCATGTTCTCCCTGTGCCTGCGTGGGTTTCCTCCGGGTACTCCGGTTTCCTCCCACACTCCAAAGACATGCTGGTAGGTGAATTGGATCCTGTCTAAATTGGCCCCAGTATGTGTATGTATGAATGTGAGTTAGGGACCTTAGATTGTATGCCCCTTGAGGGTTAGGGACCGATGTGAATGTACAATATATATGTAAAGCGCTGCGTAAATTGACGGCACTATATAAGTACCTGAAATAAATAAATAAGTAAATATTTACATTGCATCCAGAAAGTATTCACAGCGCTTAACGTTTGCCACATATTTATGTTACAGCCGTATTCCAAAATGGATTAAATTCATTTTTTTCCTCAACATTCTACAAACAATACCTCATAATGACAACATGAAAGAAGTTCGTTTTGAGATCTTTGCAATTTATTAAAAATAAAACAATAATTAAAAAAACCACATCTACGTAAGTATTCACAGCCTTTGCAATGACACTCAGAATTGATCTCTGGTGCATCCTGTTCCCACTGATCATCCTTGAGATGTTTCCACAACTTGATTGAGTCCACCTGTGGGAAATTCAGTTGATTGGACATGATTAGGAAAGGCATAAACCTCTCTATATAAGGTCCCACAGTTAACAGTGCATGTCAGAGCACAAACCAAGCCATGAAGTCCAAGGGATTGTCCGTAGACCTTTGAGACAGGATTGTACCAAGGCACAGATCTGGGGAAGGGTACAGAAAAATTTCTGCAGCATTGAAGGTCCCACTGAGCAGAGTGGCCTCCATCATCCGTAAATGGAAGAAGTTTGGAACCACCAGGAATCTTCCTAGAGCGGGCCGCCCGGCCGAAGTGAATGATTGAGTGAGAAGGGCCTTAGCCATGGAGGTAACCAAGAACCCAACGGTCACTCTGAAAGAGCTCCAGCGTTTCTCTGTGGAGAGAGGAGAACCTTCCAGAAGGACAACCGTCTCTGCAGCACTCCACCAATAAGGCTTGTATGGTAGAGTGGCCACACGGAAGCCACTGCTCCGTAAAAGGCAAATGGCAGCCCGCCTGGAGTTTGTCTAAAGGTACCTAAAGGAACTCTTAGACCATGAGAAACAAAACTCTCTGGTCTGATGAAACAAAGATTGAATGCCAAGCGTCATGTCTGGAGGAAACCAGGCACCGCTCACCACCTGGCCAATACCATCCCTACAGTGAAGCATGGTGGTGGCAGCATCATGCTGTGGGGATGTTTTTCAGTGGCTGGAACTGGGAGACTAGTCAGGATTGAAGGAAAGATGAGTGCAGCAATGTACAGAGACATCCTTTATGAAAACCTGTTCTAGAGCATTCTGGACCTTAGACTGGGGTGCCGGTTCATCTTTCAACAGGACAACCACCCTAAGCACACAGCCCATATAACAAAGGAGTGGCTACGGCCCAACTCTGTGAATGTCCTGGGGAGGCCCAGACTTGAACCCAATTGAACATCTCGGGAGAGATCTGAAAATGGCTGTGCACTGATGCTCCCCATCCAACCTGATTGAGCTTGAGAGGTACTGCAAAGAAGAATGGGAGAAATTGCACAAAAATAGGTGTGCCAAGCTTGTAGCATCATACTCAAAATGACTTAATTGGTGGTAAAGGTGCTTAAAAAACTTATTGAGCAAAGTCTGTGAATACTTATGTACATGTGGTTTTTTTTTTCGTTTTCTATTTTTAATAAATTGCAAAGATTTCAAAAGGAACTTCTTTCACATTGTCATTATGGGGTTTTGTTTGTAGAATGTTGAGGAAAAAAAATGAATTTAATCCATTTTGGAATAAGGCTGTAACATTATATGTGGCAAAATGTAAGCGCTGTGAATACTTTCTGGATGAACTGTACCTTTTTGATGTGAATTTGATTGTTGATTGGGAGCCAGGTCTTCTCTATTAGTATCCGTACCTGATTTTACAAATGCTGGTTTGGCTAAATGGCCACAAATTCCAACAGACACACTCCAAAATCTTGTGGAAAAGTTTCCCAGAAGAGTTTAGGCTGTAAGTCACAAAAGCTGAGGGGAGGCTTTTCCATAGATTTGTACATCGTTTTGAAGTGTGATGTCCAACAAGCTCAGAGAGTTGTCACGGTAAGATGTCCACAAACTCCTGAAACACATATTTACATCTTCCTTTGTTCGTCTATCCTTCAATGAAGCTATGACTTACAATGCTGACAACCAATTGTTCTGGTTTGCTAAACTCTTATGCAAGTTTTTCTACCATAATGTGTTTTGCACATATTTTACATCATGGTCATGCTATTATATATTTTTCAGTTGAATCTAGATTTCTACTTTAAAGGAGAAGTGTGGGTTTTGAAAAAAAATATACATACTCCCCTCCATGCTGCAGCTGTCCCCCACCGATTCCAAGCCTGAAAACTGAGTGCTCCATGACTGATTATCACTTAGTTCTCGTTCTGCTTAGTCACCAATCTGGCCCTCCAGTGTTCACTGGAGCGTCAGGCTGGGGAGGGGGGTGGTAGCAGCTGGCTCCCGCTCTCAGCGGCACACTGGGGGACTGTGTCAGATGCTGATCAGGCATTTGGGTGGATCCTGACAATATGGTCGGGATCCTTCCATAGCCTGGGGCGTCTTTGTGACAGCCCGCTGTCGGCTGATTCTGGGTCACAGGAGAGCACAAGTAAATGCACTCTTGTGACCCAGAAGACAAGTATGGCTAAAAAAATTATTGACCATACTTCTCTTTTAAGGGTTTGCTGCAGTGTAATAACAAGTCACAAAATAGTAATTTTACCTTTTCCCATTTAGTTACCCTCTGGATGTCACACGGCGGCGGATGCAGTTGTCTGCAATCTTGCCAGATTCTGAGAAGTGCCGGTAAGTTAACCATTATGCTACTTTTTAGAGTTACTGCAGCGTAGGTTAATGTTTAAAAAAAACATTAACATAAACTTTTTAGAGTTTGCAGCGTAGGTTAATGTTTAAAAAAAATAACTTGTTTCTGTTCATAGTTTTAATTGCAGACTATCGAAGTGTGTCAAAGTTTCTTTCTTGAACCACTAATTCAGAATGGTGTCTTTATAGTATGCTTTGGGAAATTTTGATTTGTTTCGATTAATTGGATAAAAACTTCAAAAAACGTTTTTGGTAAATTTAAAAAAAAAAAAGACCATTTATTCATGAATATCTATATTCAGTGGTAAATCTAAAGAACCAGCTATATGGTTAAGGAACAAACTATCTAATCCACTCTGAGAATAACAGACAAAAGGGATTTATATACTATTAGAGGTTGAATCTGATACATATCAAAATCGGAGATCAATATTTTTATTAAAAAAAATTAATTTTAAAAAGACCTAAAATGCTGGTTTTCAGACAAGATTGTAATATATTATTATGCATGACAGACTCCCTTGTCATAGGCAGACAGCTTGATACAACTTACCTGCGCCTGCTGTCACTTATGCTGGCCATACACGAACAAATTTTTCCTTCGAAAATTTTCATTTAAGAACACTCGTTTGATTTTCTAATCATTACTGGGGTCAAATCGACATCTGTTTTCGATCAAAGTGAAAATGAAAAGGAGCAGAATAGCAAACTTTTCTTGACTGAACAAATTTTCAGACAGTATATGTGGGAATTTATTCAGAAAGCACATTCATTTTGAAATTGAATGATAAAAGCAAGTAACATTTTCGAATGACATTCCTCCATTCGTTGAATGTACAAAGAATTTTTGTATGAAAATTGTTTGAGAACTGATGTGTATGGCCTGCATAAGACATTTTAATAGTAGTAGCATGCTTTTTTTTAATAACCTGTTCTGATGGGATAAAAAAAAAAATTAGACCTAGTACAAAAATAGCGAATAATCACAACTACAAGGTGTTAGTTAATATACCTGTAGACAGTATAAATTAATGCTATAATGAAGGGTGGAGGGGGATATAAATATTTTATATTAAAGTAGTACTAAAGGCAGAGATTTTTTTTTTTCATGGATATAATCAATTTAAATATAATGCACAATATTGGTAAACTTTTAGTTGATATTTAATTGTAATGCCTTATATTACCTCCAGTCTATCCGCCTCCATCTTCTCTGGGTTGAAATGCCAATCTTCCCTGCACAGAGCCCATAAAGTGATTGTAAATGTTTGAATTTTTTTTTTCTTTTTAACTAGAAACTTGTTATATTTACCTGCTCTGTGCAATGGTATTGCACAGAACAGCCCTGATTCTCCTCTTCTGGGGTCCCCCAATGGTGCTTCTGGCTCCTCCTGCTTTGAGAGTGCCCCCTATAGCAAAGCCACAAAGTATAGCGTAGAGCAGTGTTTCTCAACCTTTTTTTAGTCAAGGCACCCTTTAAAATTACGGACAGTCCCGAGGCACCCTTTAAAATTATGGACAGTCCTGAGGCACCCCATTCTAAAACGGGGCAGGGGATGGTCAAACCAGGATGCTTTGCAGGCAGCTGATACCCTTTTTATCAACTTATGATGTCATTTGTTGTCAGGACAACCAATCTTGAGGATGTGGCATCATGGACTTCATTCATGGTTTGAGAGATGCATTATCATTAAATTGAAAATATTGTCAAAATTTCTAGAAGTCACAAGACTACTATATATTGCTGATGAGAAAAGGTATTCAGCAGTGTATATTTACTAAAATAATTGCATTTCCATGTTCTGTGTACTGTGGGAGACCAAATATAGTGTATGCAGGGTCCTGGGTTTAGTAACACAGCAAAACAGCTTGCGGCAGGTATGTAGGTCCTTTTGTCTGTTTTAGTCCCAATTTATTGCTGTATTGGTGGCATTTTTAAAATGTGTTTGCAAACCTTCAGCAACACGTAAGCGAATTAATAATGCAGACAATGACCAACCAAGCTGTGTTGGATAAAGTGGGGAAGGGTTGGAACTTCTGACAGTGACCCATTCCGGAGATGCTTGATGTGCTGGTGACATACTCTTTCATAGGACACTGTTCAGACACACAGAGTGCCTGTATTCCATAGTCTGTTCAGTCTGGGGCAAGATGCAGGGGGCCTGTTCGAGAGGCAGGCTGTGACTGGGAGGAGGTGTGTGCCAGAGGCAGGCTGTGATTGGTCAGGAGGTGTGGCGGCTGAACAAACTACCTAATACAGGCATGCTGTGTGTTTGCCCAGTGTCCTGTACATCTGAATAGCCAGCCAAAGGATGAAAACTGACCATACTAAAACAGATCAGCTTCTGTGCTTTGTGTGGTCAGAGAAGAAGGTGACTGGAAGGATCAACCAGGTACTTCAGATGAAAGAGGTACATACAAATGATAGAGACTATGATTTCTAGAATACACATATATGAACACACACATAGAAAAAAGTATTAAGTATAATATACAGTTTACAATAATGTATTTTCTTTTTCCTCAAACAGAACCATGTTTCAGACCTTGAAATATGTCTGCATGGAGCACGGCATACGGAAAGGCCTATACCGAGGTCTGTCTCTTAACTACATTCGCTGCATTCCTTCTCAAGCTGTGGCTTTTACAACATATGAGTTTATGAGACAGATTCTGCACTTAAATGAATCTCCACCTCCAAAGTAGCAAGATTACAGCATCCAAAGCCTTGCACAACAAAATCATTTTATAATAGGATATTTGCAGAAGAGTGATCCTCACTTTAAAGTTCTCTTATACAGTTGATTCTACAATAAAGGGTTAAATGTTTTATTAGATACATTGCGGCAGTATCAAGCAAATGCCTCTTTTTGTAACATATGAACTTTTTTTTAAAGTAATGATTTTTTTATAAAGATGTCTAATTATATTTATGGAACATCATAATTTAATTACACACTTCTAGCTCCGACAGAATAGAAAATTCCAGCTGGCTGACTTTGTAAAATGTATGTAAAATAATATAAACATATAAATAATTTAGAAATTGTGAACTGACCTGTGTTTAGCAGTTCTCCATGTTTTCGCTGGAGTAACATAGTATGTATATATAGTTGTGGGTTGTTTTTTTTGTTTTCTTTTTGTGCAGTTTTGGATTTCTTTATCACAGTTTATTACACGTTTAGATATTTTTTTAATGGAGAAAGAAATTGTATTTAATTAGGCTTTATAATGCCAAAGGCAGAAGATAATTTATAAATAATGCTGCAATATCTTGCCTATAAGAGATGTATTATACACAGGATCTTAAAGCTGAACTCAAGGCTATAACAGATGAATGTACAGATGAAGTAAAAATCCATTTGAAAGTTAAAACAGCTCTCTTGTATGTATTTCTGTCCATCCAGTCTTCAGAATTACACAGCTCCTGCCATTCTATACAGTCCTGTTTGGCAGTAGAGGAGATCTGAGTTTTTTTCTTCTGCATGTCGGTCACATACAGGACTTCTCCCCACCATGTGACTGAACAGTAAAAGAAGTGGCAGACTGATAGGCTGCTTACTTTGTCGCACGGCTTTCCCCTCCTATCAGTATTCTTCTTGCATTGCAGCACAGCTGATTGGCTCCTTGTGTTTTGTCACCTCCTCCAGTCTGAGATCTGCTATAGGCAGGGATTGCAAGAGGTGGATAACAAGTCAAAGTAAGGTGATTGCACTTTAAAAAAAAAAATACAGTAAAAATTTGTTAATGAATACAGAGCTGCATTTAGTCTGAACTCCAAGCAGATAAAAAGACACATTAATGCATCTCTGTAATCATTAATACATAATTTAAATGTAAGCAGTGTAAGGCACCTGAATATGACCTGTTATCAATCTCTCGTTGTCCTTGTGCAGCAGGGCTGAAGTGTGAGAGGAAGAAGCAGCACAAAGAGCCAGTCAGTTCGTCTACTGGCGAGAAACACACTGGTTGCAAGAGAAAGCAAAGTGACAGAGATAAGCTCATCACTGTGTTACTTCTCTTTTTACTGTCCAGTCATAAGATGGGGAGGGTCTGGGTGACCTGGGCTCAGATGAAGTGGGTTGAATGATGCTGGCCATCAGACCTAAGGGCCAGTGCACACTACTTGTGTTTCAGTTGTTTTGTTGTCTGCATCCAAACGCACAGAAAGTGGATTATATTGTGGTCAGTGTCATAGTTCACATCAGTGCTTGCAGTTCCAGTGCAATCCAGCTGCAGAAAAAAAAAAGTAGAACACTCTGCATTCTTCCTGCACAGAACTGTACTGAAATGTGGTAAAACGCACTGGAATGCATCAAAAACACACTGGAACGCACATGTTCCTATTTAAATTAAAAAAAAGAAGAGAGGGCAAAAAAATGAACCGGAATGCATCAAAAACGCACTGGAATGCATCAAAAATGCACCGGAATGCGCAAAAAAAAAACGCATCTGGTCTGCATTTCTATAGTGTGAAGCGGCCCTTAAGCAGAGTTCCAGGCTAAGCATACCTAGTCTTGAAACTGTGGCCTCCCCCTCTTAACACCAATGCTGACTAAACTGTGTATAAAAAACATGTATATATTTAACTATTTTCAGCCCCCTTCCAGTCCAGTCATATGATCCAGCTTCTCTGTGTCAGTCAGCGGTGGTCACAGGGGAGAGAAGGGACTGCCAAAAACAGATGATCCATGGGAACCTATAGGTGACATCTCCGCTCCCAGGCATTCTTAGCCATTGTCAGATGCGCTCCCGGTCCCACCACACCCCCCACCCCCCCCTCCCCCCCCCCCCACAACACCACACTATCCCCCCCAACTACCGCTGGCTGACACAGGAGATCATGTGCCCAAAGCAGACTGAAAATAAGTAAATATATACTTGTTTCATACACAGTTTAGTTTTTCTAGATGTTAGGAGTCGGGAGGGAGCATTTTTAAGACTAAGTAGCTTTAGCCTGAAATTCTACCTATTCTAAGAAAATATAATACACACTGTTTTTTGTTATTTTATCTTTTTTATAAATTTTTATCTTCTTACATAAAATTAATGCAGAACTCCAGTAAAAAATATCTGCCTGGAGTTCTGCTTTAATTTTGTGTAATATCTGCCTGGAGTTCTGCTTTAAAGGAATCCTATATTGAGAGAAAGAAGTAGGCTGCCAATACTGACCTACATCTGAAAATGTTAGTTGCCTGGCTGTCTCTGGCTTTAGTACTTTGAGTCACTGACACAGAACAAGCATGCAGCAAGTGAAATCAGAACTCTTGATCTGCATGCTTGTTGCAGGTCAGTAATTTAGAAACTATTGAAGCCAGTTGACAAGCAGGACAGCCAGACAACTAACATTTTCAGGAGAGGTAAGAAATCAGATTAGCTGATGGTTACTAGAAAACACAAATATGATGGCCTATGTCCATTAGCATTTACCTGAAACTAGTTCTAGATGTAGCACAATAGCAGTCTGAGCTGCACAGCAAACAATGGCACATTCATTGGGCACAACGTAGCAGCTGTGCATGTAAAATTGTGAATTTCTGTTTCTGTGTTGCAGTATAGCTCATAACATATTTTTTTTTTATTTTTTATTTAGATCTAGGCATCACCTGTAAGCATTTTGTAATCTCATATCAGAAGTACTAATCTTTCCTTGCAGTCTTGTGTAGAAAGACCACATCAGATTTTCTATACTATTTTTTATTTGATCCTTCTACGACTAGTCCTACACATACATAGATTAACACTATCTAATAGATGGAGGAATCTCCCCTGCCGGCTATTGTATTGTGACAGCTGAAACCCATGCCTGTTAGAATACCCGAACAGTGCTCACATCTGATTGGATGCGGTTGCTGCTCACTGTACAATTTTCTATCCGCTACTGCTGGAAACCACAGCTCCAATTTCAGACGATTTAGTAGGAATACTGTACCTGATTTAATCTTTTTGAATACAGTGAATATAGTTCCCCCAGTTTGAAGTGAATTTTAGTAACTTGTACTTCATTATATCCCATTTGTCCAAAATGTGTTTGTTTTTTGTCCACAACCAAGACTTTTTTTTTTTTAATATATTGATGCAGATTTAACCTTGACATTTCAAATAGATGATACTTATATCTTGAATTGCATGTGGTTTTTTGTCGTTTAAATGAAAGTTTCTGAGTCCGAGATATTTCTGTCCACTGTGGTTTTTTTTTTTAGTTTGCCTTCAGCTGTTGTTCCAATGCAGATATAGAAATGAGGTCACTAACATTTCATCCTTAGGTTCCAGGTTTTTTTTCTATTTAGGAGTTTTTTCCTCCCCATCTTCCTTCTCTTTCTTTAACTTTTCTTTAAAAAGATCAAGTGTAACCTTTTATCAAGGTGGACGTTGTATGGTTGCTTTACACAGTATATTAAGGACAAATAATTGGTTGAGTATTTCAAGTTCTCTCATTCCTGTTGGTCAGACAAAGAACAAATATTGGCATGCTATTATTTCACTATATTCTAGACCCTGAATCTTATTTTTTCATCATTATCATTTGCACCTTTTTATAGAATAAAAAAATTGAATAGAGAATTCAAATGCTAAATGCATATTTTTTTTGTTTGTTTTTTAAGTCCGCGAACGTGCGCAAAAAAAAAAAACCCGTAAGTGTTCACAAAAAACGTGCAAGTGCAAAACACCACACAAAAAAGTGCACTTAGGGGTGTGCTTTGTCCTTCCCCCAAAGGGGATGGACCTCTACCCTGATCCCCCAGGGCACGAAGCTCCTGACAGGGACAAGGTTCCCATTTGGTCCACCTAGCCAAAAGGCCTGGCGGACCACCGTTCCTTGTGTATATAAATGCATGTTACTGCAATTTAACAATGACACAAGCAGTAGTCCGAATTGCCATCTTTCATAAAATCTGACATACAAAAGTAGGGAATGGCTACTGCTCTTACCATGGAGATCAATTAAAGTCAATCTTCCTATGAAGATGAAAAGCTACCACTTAAAATTGCAATTTATGTAATGATTGTGAGGTCACCACCCCCCTCCTCTCCACCTTGACCAATCAGAGTTTGCCTTGTATTCATTGAAACATTACAAGGCTTTCTGTGAATGATGGCAGAAAGTGACCACCTGTGGTCAATTTGCATTGGCGCAGCCCCCAGAAGAACTCGGTGATCTCAGTGGTATTGCTTACTACTACCATGATTGTTGGCTTCCCTAGCTGACGCTCAGGTATTAATGCTTACGTTGTGCCGGGCTGGACCAATGTAAGTATCCAATTAAGATCATACCTGGAGTGCAGCTTTAAAGCAAATTTGCAGCAAAAAATAAAAACCCCTGAAAAAGGAGGAATTATATCTGGGTGTCCCACAGCCTCGGCCTCGGATATTCACTCTCTTCAAAAGCTACTCCAGATGAAAGAATCATTAGCATCCAACACACTTCGAGTGTGTCAAGTGCCTGGTCTACCTGCCATCTGGTACATCATTACAATACACAGTAGTGATGTAGTCATTTTATCTTTCTACTTTTGCAACAGCCGTTTTAAGGACTGCCCTGATTTCTCTGGTTAGCTACTGGAATGGACACCTTTTGGCCTCTAAGCCATTTTCATTCTGCATTGTGTAAAGTAATTACCCAAGCTGCTCGTGAGTAGAGCCATGTGCTTTGCACTTTGGCTGTGTCACCCCATTAAAACCTCTGCATATTGATTGACACAAGT